TGCAGCGAGGAAATCAGCAAGGAGCGGCGGAGCGCAGGCCCCTCAGGCTCCTCAGAAAGTTAAGGAGGTACCGACGCGAATTTTGGTTGTGGGAGATTCCCAGGTGAGGTATTTAGACAGAACGTTTTGTGCCAGAGATAGGGGGAACAGATTAAGGGTTTGCTATCCGGGAGCTGGAATTGGTGATATTGTTGGAAACATGAATGATATTATGACGGGAAATGGGAACAAACCCATTATTTGTATTAGTGCAGGGGGTAATGATGTTGGGCGAGTTCAGAGTGAGGAACTAATACAGAGATTCAGGACAGCCATTGAATTAGTTAGGAGCAAGGGAGGAATCCCAATCATATGTGGCATTCTTCCAAGAAAGGGAGGGGGAAATGAATGGATGTCGAGGGCACTTGGTGTCAATTGCCGGCTGGAAAGATATTGCAAATCAAATGCAATATATTTCATAGACAACTGGGAACACTTCTATGGAAGAAATGAAATGTATGCTCGTGATGGGGTGCATCTATCGAGGGCTGGGGTTGTTGCTGTTGCGAACTCATTGGAACCAGTGGTTAGAGGTGTTTGTTTGGGTTTAAACTGTTAGTAGATAGCGGTATGGGAATTGATTTGGAGGAAGGAGGTAATAAAAGTATGTGTTCGTGGGAGAAAAGAATTGGCAAAATGATCAGGGAAAGAAAAGGGCCTCAAAATAACAATTCACTTAGGATATATTACACTAACAGTAGAAGTCTAAGAAATAAAATTAATGAATTAAATGCTCTTGTCTGCACAGAAAAAATAGATATTATTGCACTTATCGAAACGTGGATGAATGTAGAAAATAGAGAACTATTAGCTGAATATCAGATAAATGGATTTAAACTATTTCACACAGATAGATATATTAGACGAGGAGGGGGAGTAGCCATATATGTTAGGGACAATTTGAAATGTAGTCTCAAAGAGGGAATCAAAACTGAGCCACACACAGAAACTATTTGGATAGAATTAAAAGAAAAAGCAAATAATATTATAATAGGAGTTATATATAGGCCACCAAATTTAGACAGAATGGAAGCAAAGCATCTATGGGAGGAAATATCTAGAGTATCTAGATCTAACAGTATTTATGTCATGGGTGACTTTAATTTTAGTGGAATAAACTGGGTGAACAAAACAGGGAATAGTGAAGCAGAAGATTTTCTAGAATTAATTGACGATTGCTTTCTTACGCAACACATTAAGGAACCAACGTGGGAAAATAATATTTTAGATTTAGTGTTAACAGGGAAACACAAATTAATGACATCGAAATAGGGAGTGAGCTAGGGAACAGTGATCACAAAGAAATCAGACTTAGCATAGAATGGAATAGACCTGTAGGAGAAAATTCTTTTAAGTGCCAGATTTTCGAAAAGCTGATTTTAATAGCCTAAGAAATTTTTTGGGTCAAATAGACTGGAAAGTCTTGGGTATGGGGTGTGGGCCGGTCTTAGAGCGAGACATGAACCCAGCGATAGGTGACGTAAAAGGGGATTTCGATGTGGATTTAACATATAACTTATTTAAGAATATTCTAAACAAAGCACAGGAACGTAGTATACCATACAAATTGAATAGATCGAATACAAATGACCCAAAGTGGATAACAAATAATTTAAAGAACCTTATAGGTAAAAAGAGAGCTTGGTACAAAAGGACTAAGAATGGGGAAGTCAGTTTAGAACAGGAATTCATACAACTGGTTAGAAATGTTAAAAAAGAGATTAGGAAAGCAAAAAGAAACTATGAAGTTCGCATAGCAGAGCAAGCAAAGTCAAATCCTAAAGGTTTTTTTTCAGTTATATCGAACTAAGACTTGGGAAAGGATAGGTCCATTAAAATCTGAAACAGGTCAAATAACGGATAATGACAAGCAGATGAGTAGTATTTTTAACAAATATTTTATATCTGTATTTACTAAAGAAGAACTTAACAATATGCCTTCAGCCGAACAAGTCTATGTGGGTGGGGATGAGGACAGGTTGACTAGTTTAGCAGTTACCAGGGAGGATGTAATTAAACAATTAGAAAAACTAAATACCAAACAAATCCCCAGGGCCGGATGAAATGTTTGCCAGGGTGCTTAAAGAATGCAAAGAGGAGTTTTCCGAGCCACTGTCTACCATATTTAATAAATCAATAGAGTCAGGCAGAGTGCCAGAGTCATGGAAGGTAGCTAATGTGATACCAGTTTTTAAGAAAGGAGATAGATCACTTGCGTCAAACTATCGGCCAATTAGCCTAACGTCTATTGTGGGAAAGTTACATGAATCAATAATTGCAAATACAATTCGTCTCCATCTTGAAAAACATAAATTAATAAATGAGTCGCAACATGGTTTTACAAATAGATGTTCATGTTTAACAAATTTGCTAACTTTTTATTCCAGCATAGTTGAGGCAGTTTTTTGTGGTAAGGATTGTGATGTTGTGTACCTTGACTTTAGCAAAGCTTTTGATACAGTGCCACATGAAAGACTAATTAAAAAAATAGAAGTTCATGGTATTGGGGGTGCTATATTAACTTGGATTATGGCATGGCTATTCCAAAGGAAACAGAGAGTTAGTATAAATGGGGTTAAGTCAGAGTGGGAAAATGTTGTAAGTGGAGTACCTCAGGGCTCTGTCCTGGGCCCTCTGTTGTTTATAATACATATAAATGATTTAGATTCAGGTTTGAGTAGCAACATTTGCAAATTTGCTGATGATACGAAAATCGGTAGGGAAATTAATTCGGAGGAGGACTCACTATCACTTCAAGTTGATCTAGATAGGGTTCTGAAATGGTCAAAGGATTGGCAAATGCAGTTTAATGCTGATAAATGTAAAGTTCTGAGGCTAGGTAATGATGATAGAGTTACAGGATACGAGCTAGATGGTGTTGAGATTGCGAAGTCGGATTGCGAAAGGGATCTGGGAGTTATGATTAGTAAGAATTTAAAACAAAAGGATCAATGCATGAATGTTCGTAATAAGGCGAATAGGACACTGGGATTTATTAATCGAAGCGTTAGTACCAAGACACCTGGTGTGGTTCTTAAGCTATTTCTTGCTCTGGTTAGGCCCCATTTAGATTATGCAGTTCAGTTTTGGTCGCCGTATTATAGAATGGATATAAATTCACTTGAACGTGTCCAACATAGGATGACTAAGTTAATTCCCCAAATTAGAAATCTTTCGTATGAAGAAAGATTAACAAAGCTTAAGTTGCATTCACTGGAAAGGCAAAGAGTTAGGGGTGACATGATAGAGGTTTACAAGTGGATGAATGGACATAACAGGGGGGATATTAATAGGGTATTAAAAATATCAACACAAGACAGAACACGAAACAATGGGTATAAATTGGATAAGTTTAGATTTAGGAAAGACTTGGGTAAGTACTGGTTCAGTAACAGGGTTGTTGATTTGTGGAACCAATTGCCGCGTAACGTGGTGGAGGTGGGGTCCCTCGATTGTTTCAAGCGCGGGTTGGACAAGTATATGAGTGGGATTGGGAGGTTATAGATAGGAGCTGCCTCGTATGGGCCAATAGGCCTTCTGCAGTTACCTTTGTTCTCATGTTCTTATAATATTGTGGTGGTAGAATATGGTAGTGGTAGAATATTGTGTTGGTAGCATATTGTGGTGGTAGAATATTGTGGCGGTAGAATATGGTTATGGTAGAATATTGTGGTAGTAGAATATGGTGGTGGTAGAAGATAATGGTGGTAGAATATAGTGGTGGTAGAATATTGTGGTGGTAGAATATGGTGGTGGTAGAATATTGTGGTGGCAGAATATGGTGGTGGTAGAATATGGTGGTGGTAGAATATGGTGGTGGTAGAATATGGTGGTGGTAGAATATGGTCGTGGTAGAATATGATGGTGGTAGAATATGGTGAGGGGTAGAATATTGTGGTGGTAGAATATTGTGGCGGTAGAATAGGGTGGTAGTAGAATATGGTGGTAGAATATAGTGGTGGTAGAATATAGTGGTGGTAGAATATGGTGGTGGTAGAATATGGTGGTGGTAGAATATTGTGGTGGTAAAATATGGTGGTGGTAGAATATGGTGGGGGTAGAATATGGTGGGGGTAGAATATGGTGGGGGTAGAATATGGTGGGGGTAGAATATGGTGGTGGTAGAATATGGTGAGGGGTAGAATATTGTGGGGGTAGAGTATTGTGAAGGTAGAATATGGTGGTGGTAGAATATTGTGGGGGTAGAATATGGTGGTGGTAAAATATTGTGTGGGTAGAATATGGTGGTGGTAGAATATTTTGGGGGTAGAATATTGTGGGGGTAGACAATTGTTGGGGGTAGAATATGGTGGTGGTAGAATATTGTGGGGGTAGAAAATTGTGGTAGAAAATGGTTCGGTTAGAATATGGTTCGGGTAGAATATTGTGGTGGTAGAATATGGTGGTGGTTGAATATAGTGGGGGTAGAATATGGTGTGGTAGAATATGGTGGGGTAGAAAATGGTGGCGGTTGAATATGCTGGTGGTAGAATTTGGTGGTGGTAGAATATGGTGGTGGTAGTATATGGTGGTGGTAGAACATGATGGGGGTAGAATTTGGTTGAGGTAGAATATGGTGGAGGTAGAATATGGTGGAGGTAGAATATGGTGGAGGTAGAATATGGTGGAGGTAGAATATGGTGGAGGTAGAATATGGTGGTGGTAGAATATGGTGGTGGTAGAATATGGTGGTGGTAGAATATGGTGGTGGTAGAATATGGTGGAGGTAGAATATTGTGGTGGTAGAATATGGTGGGGGTTGAATATTGTGGGGGGGTAGAATATGGTGGTGGTAGAATATGGTGGGGGTAGAATATGGTGGTGGAAAAATATGGTGGTGGTAGAATATGGTGGGGGTAGAATATGGTTGGGGTAGAATATGGTGGTGGTAGAATATGGGGGGGGGTAGAATATGGCCAAATACTCAGGGCACTGATCGTGTTCAAGCCATGTATAATTACCTCACAACTGTAGCGACGAGAGAACAAGACAAGCAGACAACGGCAGCAGCAGCAGCAGACAACGGCAGCAGCAGCAGCAGACAACGGCAGCAGCAGCAGCGGACAACAGCAGCAGCAGCAGACAACAGCTGACGATGGTGTGGCCAACTGTGTCGGGAAAAACTAGGCAGCAATTCTTATATACACCTCACACCCAGACTCCTCCCACCCTGTCTCCTCCCACCCTGTCTCCTCCCACCCTGTCTCCTCCCACCCTGTCTCCTCCCACCTTGTCTCCTCCCACCCTGTCTACTCCCACCCTGTCTCCTCCCACCCTGTCTACTCCCACCCTGTCTCCTCCTTCCCTGTCTCCTCCCCTCCGCGGGCCCTCCCCACCATCCCCCAGTATCTACCAGCAGGCGTCCACAAGGGTCAACAATACCGCCTAAGGAGAGCAGCAAAACACCGTCCACCATATGATCAGACAATCCAGGAGCTCCATGAACTCATGAACATACAGCCACTAAATATCAGACTGCAGCACCAAGCCATCAGAGTGTGGAACAACATCGAAATGTTAGAGGACCCAATGTTAGAAAGATTGCTCCAAGATGAGACGCCCCGCTCCAACAGCTGGTGGCCCAAGAACCTCGACTCACTAGATGAAAACCCCGCCCCACAGTACATAATTCCCAGATGAAACACAGACCAGAACCCCTTCCCTCATAATTGAAAAATTGAGTATGTATGTGTGTATGTATGTGTATATGTGTATGTGCATGTATGTGTATGTGTTAGTATATGTATGTATATATGTGTATGTACGAACAACTCGATAAATAATAACATGTATGTACGAACAACTCGATAAATAATAACATGTATGTATGAACAACTCGATAAATAATAACATGTATGTATGAACAACTCGATAAATAATAACATGTATGTATGAACAACTCGATAAATAATAACATGTATGTATGAACAACTCGATAAATATTAATAATAAAATACAGAGCCTTAAACAGAACAACATGTGTGGAAGCATCGGAGTGTGTATATATTAATGCTACACAGTATTCATCTATAAACATCTCTATATGGTGAAACGTGTAGAACCCCTCACACACTCACAGCTCCCTGACAAGAGGGAGCCAGCTTAGCTTAGCTGCCAACACCCACACATGGTGTCAGCAAGGCGGACAGCCCGCCTGCTTTCATACCTCTCACTGTATTTCCCAGTTCTATACTTCCCTTCACCTCTTCATCCTCTTTACTTCCAAAAAAAACAAAATAACCACCTGAGGTGATGTGTAAGATCACCTCGGAAAATTTTTCCTGTTTTGTTCAAGGGAATCCCCTGACATGTTGTCATGCCGGCTCTTGTTGTTGTTGTTGTTGTTGTTGTGTTGTTGTTGTTGTTGATGATGTTGTGATGCGAAAGGGATGTCCTTGTTGTTGTTGTTGATGTTGTGATGCGAGAGTGAAGTGCTTGTTGTTGTCGTCGTTGTTACCCCGTCCTGGGCCAGGAGCACCCCTCCGTGCTCTGGGTGGGGGTGTTGGATAATCCTAGCAAGCAATTATTTTTATTCTTTGTGAACATTTATTTTCTATTTTTTTATCACTTCAATATTTATGATTATGATTCTAAGTGGACTGTATATTTGATTCAGCCTGCCAGAATTTACCTGCACATAGTTGGAGGAACGTTTACAGCTTATACAACAATTGGTGGTCATATAATAAGCTATAAACATTTACCTTATTATAATATAAATTATACCACATGTTGGTAATTAACCTACAGTATGGTTAGTACTACTCCATCTTATTGTAAACATGGGTTAGTACAAATGTGAGATCTTAGCCATGATGTAGGTATGGCCTGATTAGGCAGTGTGATAGCTGTTAGAGTGTGGCTACATGTGGTCCAGTTGTAAAATGGGGGCTGGCACTCAGGTGGCGTCTGTGGAACAGCTAGGGTAAGCAAGAACATCACAAGTTATGTTGGCCAGCTCACCTCATTATCTTTAACTCACAAACTTACCTACCAAAGAATGGGATTAATAACGGTTCCATTAACATATAAAGTACAGGTTTGACATGAATTATTTGTGTGTGTGTAGTGCTGAGTAAAACACTACTCACTTTGTTGTGGGCTTCGTCTGCAGCTTAACCAACTACCTATCCTATATTTAATAGTGATCACTACCAATAAAAGATGTAATGGGAGTCGGGAACTAAGCTCTTCTCTTTGTTATTGAGGGTTGGTCGGATCGTTGTGGATCCATTGACAAGTTGTGCTTGTCGTGAGGAGCCCTCTTTGTTTTGTTTCTGTGTCTGAGCCAGAGCGTGACTGCCAGCCTCCTTCCCTGAGGTTGCGTTCCAATACTCTGTTGGTTCCTACTCTGTCTTAAAGACAAGGTTTATGTAACAATAGCAAGGAAGTCTGTAGTGTATTTTTATTGCTAATTATATTATATCCTGTCCTAGCGAATACTTTTTATTAAGTTTAAACACTAGACTGTAGTTTAAAAGAATAATTGGAATTTAATATATACGTGTTGTGAATATGGGTCTATTGTGATGACACTGAATCTCCCATTACCCTTATATTCGGAAATGGCTAACTATAGTATGTTAACATGTGTGTAGGATTTCCAACAGGGGGTTAAGACTTACCCCTCCCTGGGCCAGGAACACCACACAATGCTCCGGGAGGTGGTTAAGATTTACCTCGCCCTGGACCACAGCACCACACCATGCTCCGGGCAGGGGTTAAGACTTCCCCGGCCCTGGGGCCATGTTACGAACCCTTCCGTAACCGGGTTCTTATAAACTGTATGATCATTCTCAAGGTCAGAGATCCCTATCCTTGGTGGAAATGCAGTGTAATTTTTAAGGTAAAAAATAATATTGCACTTAAAATTAACCGTTCTTATTATCTCCCACCACAACTATATACAATTCACTACTAGAGGTCATCCAGAGCATCGTTAGCCCTCACGCTAGCTAGCTGCGAAGATGACGGACACTATTTTCATTCCTCTGACGAGGTCTTCAACGCAACACTAGCCCCTAGCCCACTAGCTGCAGTTATAGCGATGTCTTCAAGTGCCCTACTAGCCCACTCGCAAGTACGCTCAAACAGTGAAGTCTTCCAGAGCTCTACTAGCCCTCTGGTTAGCACACCCAAACGGTGAAGTCCTCAGAGCTCCACTAAACCTCTCTGTCACCAGTAGCTCATCACCTACCAGAACAGCAAACTAGAAGATGGGAAACTGATATTAATGGGAGGGTCAACTATTTAATTCGGAACCTGGATCATAGATGGCGCCGAGGTCCGTCACAGACTAGGAGCACCACACCATGCTCCGGGCGGGGGTTAAGAGTTATTCAGCTCTGGAGCCAGGAGCACCACACCATGCTCCGGGCGGGGGTTAACACCCCACCCAGGTTACAAGGGGTTCGTAACAGACTGACTGAATGATGACTGATTGACGGACTGACTGATTGAAAGCCTGACTAACTGACTGACTGATTGAAAGACTGACTGACTGACTGACTGACTGAAAAACTGACTGACTGAAAAACTGACTGACTGACTGACTAAATGACAGAATGACAGGATGACAGGGATCTCTGATCTGGGGCCACAGCACCACTCCATGCTCCGTCCGGGTGACTCTCAAGACTTACTTATTAGACTAAGTCTAATAAGACCAGGGATAATGCTTGCACGTAATGTAGGGGGGGCTGTGAAGGAGTCTGTGGGATCTTGGGTCCCCAGCCTTCACAATGGGGACACAAGGCACCACAGGCTCCTTCACAGCACCCTGAATCCCGTGCTGGCATTATCCCTGTTCTTATTAGACTAGAGGAGAGGCTTGCCGGACCAGACAATTTTGTCAGTGAACTGACCGCATTATACATAGTCAATTTCTTGGCCCCCATCATAGACCCTGGCGCAAGTCTCACTGCCTCCACTACCACTCCGGAGACTACCACCAGGACGACCACAAGGTCAATTTCAACACACTCCTAAACGACCCAAGACGCGCGGCACAAACAGAGGTAGTTCCCTCTCCAGCTCCCAGCAATCCTACGATCACCATCTCATCAGCCGCGTTAGCAGACGTGCTGTCTACAAATGCTAACAGCACCACCAACGCTCCTGAAATAGCTCCTACTACCAATCAACGACACATGAGCTTACCTCAGGCTGCGAGACGAAAGACAAAAACACCAACTACGGATGTTACAGAGTCCTCAGACCAGGAAAGTTTAGTAGGAGCTTCACCAGCGCACCACAAATACGACACCTAATCCGTACACGATCTCCTCATATTAGCCACTTCACCAAACTCCAACGACAGCATGGCTCAGCCAAAGAAAAAAGGGAAGACCTACAGGTATATGCTAACCCCACCAGTTCCATAACTGGTACAACCAGCCTTCCAGGACTAAAAACAATCATGACGACCCCCCATCAATCCCTAGATCTCTAGTATCAGCTATAGATACAGATAATGGCCCCAAAGAGCCTCCACTTACGGGAGGCTGACCATAGCCCGTGCTACTTGGAACTGTTTGTTCTGCGTAGGTGAATGCACCACACCACGCTCCAGGTTAGGTTAAGACTTACTCCGCCCTGGAGCACCACACCATGCTCTAGGCAGGGGTTAAGACTTACCCCGCCTTGCGCCTGGAGCACCACACCATGCTCCGGGCGGGGTTAAGACTTACCCCGCCCTGGGCCAGGAGCACCACACCATGCTCAGGGAGGGGGTTAACACTTACCCCGCCTTGCGCCTGGAGTACCACACCATGCTCCGGGTGGGGTTAAGACTTACCCCGCCCTGGGCCAGGAGCACCACACCATGCTCCGGGCGGGGGTTAAGACTTACCCCGCCTGGGGCCTGGAGCACCACACCATGCTCCGGGCGGGGGTTAAGACTTACCCCGCCCTGGGCCAGGAGCACCACACCATGTTCCGGGTGGGAGTTAAGATTTACCCCGCCCTGGGCCAGGAGCTCCACACCATGCTCTGGGCGGGGTTAAGACTTACCCCGCCCTGGGCCAGGAGCACTACACAATGCTCCGGGCGGGGGTTAAGACTTACCCCGCCCTGGGCAAGGAGCACCACACCATGCTCTGGGCGGGGTT